TTTACCTGTCTGAATGCTCTGTCGGGTTAGTTTTACCTGTCTGAATGCTCTGTCGGGTTAGTTTTACCTGTCTGAATGCTCTGTCGGGTTAGTTTTACCTGTCTGAATGCTCTGTCGGGTTAGTTTTACCTGTCTGAATGCTCTGTCGGGTTAGTTTTACCTGTCTGAATGCTCTGTCGGGTTAGTTTTACCTGTCTGAATGCTCTGTCGGGTTAGTTTTACCTGTCTGAATGCTCTGTCGGGTTAGTTTTACCTGTCTGAATGCTCTGTCGGGTTAGTTTTACCTGTCTGAATGCTCTGTCGGGTTAGTTTTACCTGTCTGAATGCTCTGTCGGGTTAGTTTTACCTGTCTGAATGCTCTGTCGGGTTAGTTTTACCTGTCTGAATGCTCTGTCGGGTTAGTTTTACCTGTCTGAATGCTCTGTCGGGTTAGTTTTACCTGTCTGAATGCTCTGTCGGGTTAGTTTTACCTGTCTGAATGCTCTGTCGGGTTAGTTTTACCTGTCTGAATGCTCTGTCGGGTTAGTTTTACCTGTCTGAATGCTCTGTCGGGTTAGTTTTACCTGTCTGAATGCTCTGTCGGGTTAGTTTTACCTGTCTGAATGCTCTGTCGGGTTAGTTTTACCTGTCTGAATGCTCTGTCGGGTTAGTTTTACCTGTCTGAATGCTCTGTCGGGTTAGTTTTACCTGTCTGAATGCTCTGTCGGGTTAGTTTTACCTGTCTGAATGCTCTGTCGGGTTAGTTTTACCTGTCTGAATGCTCTGTCGGGTTAGTTTTACCTGTCTGAACGCTGTCTCGGGTTAGTTTTACCTGCCTGAACGCTCTCTCGGGTTAGTTTTACCTTTCTGAACGCTCTCTCGGGTTAGTTTTACCTGTCTGAACGCTCTGTCTGGTTAGTTTTATCTGTGAACGCTCTGTCGGGTTAGTTTTACCTTTCTGAACGCTCTCTCGGGTTAGTTTTACCTGTCTGAACGCTCTCTCGGGTTACCTGTCTGAACGCTCTCTCGGGTTACCTGTCTGAACGCTCTCTCGGGTTACCTGTCTGAACGCTCTCTCGGGTTACCTGTCTGAACGCTCTCTCGGGTTACCTGTCTGAACGCTCTCTCGGGTTACCTGTCTGAACGCTCTCTCGGGTTACCTGTCTGAACGCTCTCTCGGGTTACCTGTCTGAACGCTCTCTCGGGTTACCTGTCTGAACGCTCTCTCGGGTTACCTGTCTGAACGCTCTCTCGGGTTACCTGTCTGAACGCTCTCTCGGGTTACCTGTCTGAACGCTCTCTCGGGTTACCTGTCTGAACGCTCTCTCGGGTTACCTGTCTGAACGCTCTCTCGGGTTACCTGTCTGAACGCTCTCTCGGGTTACCTGTCTGAACGCTCTCTCGGGTTACCTGTCTGAACGCTCTCTCGGGTTACCTGTCTGAACGCTCTCTCGGGTTACCTGTCTGAACGCTCTCTCGGGTTACCTGTCTGAACGCTCTCTCGGGTTACCTGTCTGAACGCTCTCTCGGGTTACCTGTCTGAACGCTCTCTCGGGTTACCTGTCTGAACGCTCTCTCGGGTTACCTGTCTGAACGCTCTCTCGGGTTACCTGTCTGAACGCTCTCTCGGGTTACCTGTCTGAACGCTCTCTCGGGTTACCTGTCTGAACGCTCTCTCGGGTTACCTGTCTGAACGCTCTCTCGGGTTACCTGTCTGAACGCTCTCTCGGGTTACCTGTCTGAACGCTCTCTCGGGTTACCTGTCTGAACGCTCTCTCGGGTTACCTGTCTGAACGCTCTCTCGGGTTACCTGTCTGAACGCTCTCTCGGGTTACCTGTCTGAACGCTCTCTCGGGTTACCTGTCTGAACGCTCTCTCGGGTTACCTGTCTGAACGCTCTCTCGGGTTACCTGTCTGAACGCTCTCTCGGGTTACCTGTCTGAACGCTCTCTCGGGTTACCTGTCTGAACGCTCTCTCGGGTTACCTGTCTGAACGCTCTCTCGGGTTACCTGTCTGAACGCTCTCTCGGGTTACCTGTCTGAACGCTCTCTCGGGTTACCTGTCTGAACGCTCTCTCGGGTTACCTGTCTGAACGCTCTCTCGGGTTACCTGTCTGAACGCTCTCTCGGGTTACCTGTCTGAACGCTCTCTCGGGTTACCTGTCTGAACGCTCTCTCGGGTTACCTGTCTGAACGCTCTCTCGGGTTACCTGTCTGAACGCTCTCTCGGGTTACCTGTCTGAACGCTCTCTCGGGTTACCTGTCTGAACGCTCTCTCGGGTTACCTGTCTGAACGCTCTCTCGGGTTACCTGTCTGAACGCTCTCTCGGGTTACCTGTCTGAACGCTCTCTCGGGTTACCTGTCTGAACGCTCTCTCGGGTTACCTGTCTGAACGCTCTCTCGGGTTACCTGTCTGAACGCTCTCTCGGGTTACCTGTCTGAACGCTCTCTCGGGTTACCTGTCTGAACGCTCTCTCGGGTTACCTGTCTGAACGCTCTCTCGGGTTACCTGTCTGAACGCTCTCTCGGGTTACCTGTCTGAACGCTCTCTCGGGTTACCTGTCTGAACGCTCTCTCGGGTTACCTGTCTGAACGCTCTCTCGGGTTACCTGTCTGAACGCTCTCTCGGGTTACCTGTCTGAACGCTCTCTCGGGTTACCTGTCTGAACGCTCTCTCGGGTTAGTTTTACCTGTCTGAACGCTCTGTCGGGTTAGTTTTACCTGTCTGAACTCTCTCTCGGGTTAGTTTTACCTGTCTGAACTCTCTCTCCGGTTAGTTTTACCTGTCTGAACGCTCTGTCGGGTTAGTTTTACCTGTCTGAACGCTCTGTCGGGTTAGTTTTACCTGTCTTTGTGGCGCACCAGGAGCTGGTGGAGTTTCTGTGTCTCTCCGCAGCTGTACAGATAATCTGCTTGTTCTAAAACTTCTTGAGCTGGACAAAAGATGCAGTTAAATAAAGCAGCAGCTCTAAGACTTCATTTACAGCTCAATGTTGGAAAAAGAAGCAACACTACCTGAGTCCAGCGCTCGAACCGAAGAGAAATGAGCGACTCTCTCATAGATCAGGAATGACAGTGGAGTCACAGCCACGAGAAACGAAGCTTTTCTGTTCTGACAGTCACAAAACACACAACGCTGCTCACAAGTACAAGAACTCTATTAATAATCATCAGAAATAACCACCGCTGCTGTGACTGACATTCATTTGGTATTTCACCCATATCCTTGTTCTCTCTCTCTCTCTCTCTCTCTCTCACACACACATATACTTGCTGTTTAAATTGGTCATGTTCTGCAAATGATACTCATAATAACTCTGACGTAGATGTGGATCTTACTGAAGTTCTGGTTCGATCAGTCCAAATGCGCTCATTCATCCTCCTGATCTTCACGTTTCTGCTCACAAACCGCTTTAAAGCTCCAAACAAACTCACGGACGCCATCAGATCGGTCTGAGCACCAGACTTTATTCCGTGTGTATGAAGCGCTTGAGCTGAATGTTAGTTATAGTTGTGTTCTGCTGTAGAGCAGGTCAGTGCTGCTAATAAGGCTAATGTGTGTTTCCTGTGCTGTTCCCTCCAGCAGGCGGCGCTCTCGCAACACTCACTGCCGTAAAATGATTGGCACTTGTCGCAAAATAGTCCTCGCCTGTAATAAAAAGCTATCATTTTCAGTCTGTTGAAATGTAACCTCACGACGACAATAAAAACGATACATGTTTTTGAGTTGGTTTCAAATCCGTAAACTAGGGACCATTTCAGATCAATACAGTATCAGTGCATCTCTAGTTTCTATGATGTGTACACCATATTAACAACAGTTGTGCACCAACATTTTCAAAAGAGAAAATACATCAACTGTATGAATGGAAACTGCACATGTAACAGATCTGGTAACAAAGTTTGCCATGAAGCAGCAGCAGCATGCATGTGAAATGATCTCTGTTTAATCTGTTTTAATCATGTTTACTGTTACACTGCTGGAGCCTGTTTTCATGATCTCACCTCCAGTGTTTGTGAAGAACATCCTGATGGCATCATTCAAGCCTTATTCCAATTCAATGTAACTTTTACAATAATATCCTTTACTTTCTTTGCAGGTGTCTTTTAATTAAAATACATGCTGCTCTGAAGCTCTAAACACAACAGACTGAGACTCTTCACCAGGCGTTCTGTGTGAGACTTTACATTCATGCCAACATTCTTTCATATATACTGCACTTCATACTTGGTTTCTTTTCTAATGAGGGGCTGAGGACTGATGCTGCTTTATGAAAACAAGAGAAGTTTAGGGCACTTTAGGAAATAGATGCTGCCCATTCTCATTCTAGTTCATTTGAGCAAACGCTGTGGGAATCCTGTTCTTGTTTAGTCCAGTGGATCAGAGGAAATGCTTTCTTACAATGCTTTCTTTTAATATTTATTTGCTGTTTAGAAACAGTTATTTTTGTACCTAAGTTTTTCAAGAAAGAATGTATTTATAAATGAACAGTAGAAATAGAATTATAAATGAACAATAGAAATAGAATTATAAATGAACAATAGGAATATGAAACACTGAATACCCCTGCATGCCATCAGTTCATCAGTTTCAGAACTAGTCTTATTGTTTTACTATACGTTCAAAACAAACTTGACTGAAAAAACAACAAAAAACAAACAAGCCCTTCTGGTTATACTCAAGCAGACCGACGTGTCTCAGGCTTTTAGTTGCACAATTTAATAAAAATGAAACTGCCATCATTCCATTCCCTGAGTTTTGTGATGAAGACTATTGTGTGTTTCATCAGAGCTGATGAGGTCCGTCAATCAATCCTGTCTGGTATATAGTGATTGACTTAGCTGGTCACATGCACTGTAACTGTAATCGTTCTAGAAAACCTAAAAGAGGGATTACACAACTGAGAAAACACACCCTGTGTGTGTGTGTGTGTGTGTGTGTGTGTGAGTGTGTGTCTGTCTCTGAGTGTGTGTGTGTGTGTGTGTGTGTTCATGACAGTGTGTGTGTGTGTGTGTGTGTGTGTGTGTTCATGAGGGTGTGTCTGCTGCTCATATAAACTCGGTCACTCCGGCGATTCATTCACTGCGGAAGTTCCTCAAACTGAAGACCTGTTTTACAGCATGTGAGTAACTCTAATGATTCAGATCACCAGGACAATTAAAGCATTTTGATAGTTATTAATTAATACGTTATAGAGAACAACACGCTGAAATACTAAGATGATTCATGTAAACGTTAACGACGCGTTTCGATGCTTTTTGTTTTTGTCAACGATAAACGTAAACATCTAAAGTCACTTTTTCAGCAAAAGTGCGATGTTTTATTGCCTCGAGTCATGTATTTATGCGTCAAGCCGTTCTGCGCGTAGTTTGGTCAAAGTCGGCCAATCACAGTCGTTTGTGCTGTTCGTTTGTCCAATGAGCTGAGAGAGCGTTGCGCGCAGACAACGAGGAAGTACATGAAATGTAACCTAAACAACTGTGAGGGTTCAAATATAGCTTGCTATAGATTTGAAATGGAGATTGTATGCATGTGTATTTAGTATTCAAAGTGTTCCTCTTCATAGTGATTATTCGTTCTCAGATATGATGTTCTTCTGTCTGTCTGTGTTCAGTGTGTCGGAATGGAGCATCTGTCCGCGGCGCACGCGCGCCTCTCTCTCAGTCTCTTCCAGAAGATCTCTGAGGGACACGCGTCAGTAAATGTCTTCTACTCTCCTCTCAGCATCTCTGCTGCTCTCTCGATGCTGTCTCTCGGAGCTGGAGGAAACACGGCGTCTCAGATGTCCCGGGTCAGTTACAGCACATCTTGATTTGGGATTCATAAAGTTCCCCTGTGCGTCTAATCTTTATCTAAATGCATCAATTCAAATAGAGTAATAAGTACTTCCCAACACTTTAAAGAGAGCAAAGACACTACAGTGTTTTAATGTGGTGTATTCATGATTGCGTGTGTTGAAATCACTTCACCTGTGTCTCTCAGTCTGTACCTGACTACACAAGTGAAGATGAAGTGTCCAGGACTGTAAAAGAGTCCTTCTGGCTCTCCTGTCACAGAGCTGATGTGTTCGGAGCTGTTCCAGCTTGGGAAAGATCAGTGTGTGGTTATCACAGTAAACTGTTGTGCAATGGTCTGTGTTTATCAGCCCAGGGTTTGTGAATCATAAAGCTGCAAGCCGTTTAGATGAATTCATTAACTAATTTGATTTGACAGAATGACAATCGAAACATTAATTTGTTAGATTAAATGGTTAACTGATTTAAAAAAATAATAATAATGTTGATCTCATCTTCAGTGCAAACGATGAGTTTCTGCTGATATAATGCGCTGTATTTGACAGATTTCAGACACAGCTCTGCTTGTAGTGAGATTGATTGTTTAATAGAGCAGCTTGTTCTGCTGGTTCATAATGTAATCTGAAACCTTTCAAACTGGAACTGAAGTACGTTAGTGGTTGAACAGATGGTTAAGCCTTTGGTGTAATGAATGTAAATGAATGTCATGTAATGCTGTGTGAGTCTGGGGGTCAAAGGGCATCGCCACAGCGATAACACAGTGCTCATGCGTCAGCAGGGTTGCACACAGAAGTGGCTTGAGTTATCTTTTGGTGGCGGGTCACTAATAAAGACTGAATGCAGAAGGTGTGTCATCTTTATAGTCTTTGTCATATTTGGTGTCTTTCCTCTTCTCAGTGTTTCTTGATTAAACATTGTACTTCTCATGAACCGCATCGAGGCAAAGGTGAATGCAGCTCTTCTTAATGAAAAACTTTAGCCTATAACTGTTTTTAACTTGTTGTTTTACATGGCAGATGAAGAGAGTTAGGGTTTGCTCACTATCAGCCACATCAGCATGAAGGAAACTCTCATTGACTGTTTGTCTCCAGACTTTGCATTTTCCTGAAGCAGAAGGTGAAATGCACGCTGGCTTCACTAAACTCCTGAGCGAGATCAACCGAGCCGGAGCTCCATACGCACTGAGTCTGGCCAGTCGGCTCTATGGAGAGCAGTCCTACACGTTCATCGAGGTGAGCTCGTTTATCCACACATGCAGCTCCTGTAAATATAGTGCTTGAATCTCTGATAAATGTCTCCTTTATCAAATGTTAACACTACATGAGTAATGAAGAGAAAAAAAATAAAATCTGCTTTATTTGTACTTCAGAAATGTATTCCTTCTCTCTGTTGTTACAGAAATTCATTAGTGACACAAGAACCCTGTACGAGGCTGAGCTGGAGACGGTGGACTTCAGTAATGCAGACGCAGCTCGAGTCAACATCAACAGCTGGGTGCAGAAGCAGACACAAGGTGCAAGAACCGCTGTTAAACTGAATGCTGTGTAGGAAGATAAACAATACGATCTTTACTGTCATTACTGTGCCGTGGCTCTATGGATTGATTGCGTGCTGTACCACTGATAATAAACTCAGTTCCTGCTGTGTGGGTTTGAATGTGGTTTGTAATCACAGAGAAGATCCAGGATCTTCTGTCCGAGGGCGATGTGGATTCTCTGACCAGACTGGTGCTGGTGAACGCTATCTACTTCAAGGGCAGCTGGGAGACGAAGTTCAGAGAGGAAGACACCAGAGAGCAGCAGTTCAACATCAGCAAGGTCAGAGTTCACCAGGGCTTTCACTCTTAGTGCACACCGCATTCTCTTATTTCAGTCTGTGGCCTTTCCTTTCATTCACTTTAATCCATTTATAAATGTGACCGTTTGTTTTTCTTTACTTGTTCTTAAGTGGTATATCTAATTATCTTTTTATGAACTTTTTTTTATCTAATTAATGAACTTGCCTTGTGAAACATTTGACTTGGTAATGGCTGATATTGAACTTAGAAATATTGGAAATAAGTGGGCAGCAGTCCTCAAATACTTAAATATAATTAAATAAGTATAAAATAGATCAGAATAATTAAATGTCAGTGTGTGGCGTATGTTCAGTATGGGTCAGGTGTTTCCAGAGTACAGAGGTGTGTTTAGAAGGGGCAGAATCTGTTCCTTTTGTCTTGTTTTAGCTCTAGTTGTCATGAATCTCATTCCTGATGACAGAGACTGAAGATGCGTTGGTTTTGATTAGGGCTGAACGATTTGATTCGTGCAGCGTGTCGTGAGCGTGACTGTGATGTGTTTCACTGATGGTTGACAGAATGAATCGAAGCCGGTGCAGATGATGTTCCCGAAGGCCAAGTATTTTTCTATTTATTTTATTTAAGAATTTCCTCTGCTTCCTGAACTTGGTGTTTGTTTTATGTACAGACAAATTGTGACTTTAAAGAATAATTTTAGAAGAGCTATGACGGTGGCTTTATTGTAATGTGGGCTATGACTATACAATGAGTGGTAAGACTTTTAAAGCTCAAATGCAGAGCTTAATGCTTGACTGTGTATGAACGTCTTGGGTTTCACATAATCTGCTCTGGTTTTTGCTCTTCCAGATCCTACACTTTCCTGGGCATTGTATAAGACAC